TTTTTATCAGGCCATAGCTCAGCTTTGTTATCCTATCAAGGCAATAAAGAACAATTCAAGCTTTGTGAATAAGGTTCCAGCAGAGGCTACCACTACGACGGTAGTAACAGATGAGACATTAGGGACTTCTACAAGGGACATTTCATCCCAGCTTTGTGGTTCTTAACCTCCACCAATTTGTGTGATAGAAATAAAAATTGCCTGGTTTCTAAGCAACAAAGTGCAATGTAAAAAAAACAATTTTAAAACCAACTGGGCTGGCTGACACAATTAGCTTTGAACATTACCACCAATATCAGTTTATCATCAATAATTAATAACAAGCAAGAATATGTAAAAGGGCCCGAAACAATATTGATCAGAGACCACACGATTGGTCAGTTCTTTGGGGACGCAGGAACAAGACTCTGTGAGGAGTAATTACACTCATAAACCTTATTGCAATTTAAAGTTTACAGCATGAGTGATCCATCAAGCTTCGCTGGTGAACACTGTAGTGTGTAATGAAGTATACTACATTTAAATATGTCCATTATTTATGAGGGGAAAAATTAAAACCTTGAACTTGAGACAAAGTGTGTCTATAGATACAAAATTAAACAGTTAATCGTTTAAATCTAGCTGCCCCCTTGTTTTCATTATGTAGGGTACTACTAGAGTGAGTTCATGCTTTCCACTGATTTTTTTTTTTTTGACATTCATTGTGTTCCCTTTAGTTAATTCACAGAGATCAAACACCAACCATTTTACACAATGTCTTTATTTTACTAAGCCTAAGCAACAGAATCAATAGAGAAACATATACCAAAGTAACGTGCTGTAAGGTTTCCCCTGCCAGCTGAGAAGAGGACTGAGGCACAGTTTGATTTCAACAACCTTTACCTTGAAATCGAAGCAAATGGGCTAAGGTCACAGCAAACACTAAGTACTGTGAACCCTCCACTAATTCTAATTCTCAATGTTTGAAAGTAAGCCTGACCAATAGCATTTAATCTTAGAAGACACTCTGATTTTCTTTGTGTCCTGAGGACCGCACATGCCCAAAGGCAGCAGCAGAAATGCATCAGGCAGCATTGTCCTGCAGGGACAGTTGGGCATTCTACTGATAGTACACAAAGGAGGGTGCATGATATCACCGTTTGCTATCCAAATTACCAACCTTTTACCAGAACTATTGTTCGAAACTCTTATTTTATTAAGATTGGAGTAGGTAGAGCAATTAATTCATGCCCTTATCAGTGGTTGGCCTAGTGGTTAAAGCAGGTTTGTCCTGGGAGAGTTGCAAGTTGCCTGGTCTAAAATCCTGCTCTTCAAATGCTTGAGAAAGACTCTCGGGCAAAAATGCTCTCAGACACCGAGCACTAGCACCCCACCACTCCCTTATGGCAGTATTTCACACAGACCACATTCAAGGGTAGATGGAGATGATGATTATTAATATCAACCCTCTCCCCCTAATATGATCACCCCCTAACAAACTAAACTTGAACATGAGAATATATATATACCGGTATTTTTTTATTATTATTATTATTTTAGTCCCACTCTTCTTCACCCCATACTAATCCAACTGACCCAGTGCAGCTTTATCTTAATGAGATCTCCTCAGTTAGGCCATTTACAGCCATGAAGAGCAAAGTTAGATAAGATAGAACAGAAAGCTGTGCAAGGCACTGCTGTGTGCTGCTCACAACTACGGAGAGGCAAAAACAACAGGGACATACAAATACATGCATGTGTCTGTTAGAAGGAACTCCCCACAATTTGTGGAAAACAAACTACATCTCTGTGACCAACTATCACCATTTCCAACTTGTTAGCATGGAACATCACCTTTGGTTGTCCTAGCAGTCACTTAAAGTTTCTAGATGACATCATCGCCAAATTAGCATATTTGGTAATGCTTTGATCCAACTACTTAGAGGAATGTCAACATCAGCAAGACAAAGTGATTAGAAACCCTAAATATATCCATCCATCCTTCCAACCATTGGCACATCAAAACATCCATCTATCCATCCCTCCATCCATCCATCCGCCCATCCATCCACCCAGACAACCCTCCAGCCGTCCATCCGTCTGTCCGCCCATCCCTGCATCCATCCATCTTCTCCCACTTAGCCATCAGGGTTACTCTACACATGTTTTGGTTTATATTAGGCCAAACTACATAAACCCATCTTGCCATATTATCAAGTTCATATTAAAGAGACTTAGGAGAGGCACATGTAGTGGATGAGCCTGTGTATGCATGATTTAAATGCAGGGAGGGATTTAGTGTTAACAGCTTGGCAAAAAAGTCACCAAAGTCTCCAACAACACAGAATAAATGTGCAAAATTTTTGAAAATTGCTTATTTGAAAAATGTCAATAGAGGGATCTGAGAAGTGCCAAAATATCGAGACCAAGTCCCTTAGTTGGCAACGGTGGGAACTATCATGCAGTTTCCTTTCCTTCCAAGCTACCAGGGCAGGAATTTGGCCAACCTCCAATGCTGCTACATAAGCTCCTAGGCCAAAAGTTGTCATCCAGGCTGCATGTAGACATCATTATGAGAGGGGTGAAGTGTGTGAAAAAAGGGGAAGGTGGTTGCCAAGATAACATTTTTCTCAAAGACTGTGTGTTCATAAATTACAGTTGACAAGCTGCTAGTATCGAGTCAGGAGAGGCGGCTGACTGGAGGTTTGCTGCCTGACTGGATAGTCCAAGCCATAACCAGCTATCAGTTTGTTACAGAGCTCACAGAGGTATATTTTCTGCTCCTACAAATATATTTGCCATTTAGTTCAATGATAATTTAAATTATAAGCAGCTAAAATATGTCATACGTTTTCTTTTATAATTTTAAATGGAAGGACATTTAAACTTACAGGCAGGCAAGGAAGACAGTGGAGATCTGAGTATTGGCAAACCAAGAAAATGTGTATTAGGTATTGTGCTTCAATTTTGTTATCAAACTTACTACTTCCTTGGAATAATATATGTTACCAGAGTGGTTTGTGTTGGAGTGGCACTAAGAGCCAGTAATAGTGATGTTCATAATATAATCAGTGCCATTTGCAAAAGTGGGTTCAGTCTTATTATATCTTATTTGGTGAAATCTCACCAGCAGGACATGTCTGTAGAGAAAGTAAGGTTAAAGAAAAAGTCAATGTATATGCATAAAGATGCATTGTACTTGTCTGTTTTTCATTTTCCTACCCCTGTCAAGAATCTCACCATGGAAAGTTTTGTCATCTGGATGATGTGCAACATACCGCTGTCAACACGTACTGCACCTTTACGTCAGTTGAACATCAAAATTTAATGGCTTCTCCCACCATCCGTGTTCTTCCGCCTATTTTCAAGGCTTCTTGAAATTCTACCTGGTGGTTTTTCTGTTGTTTTGTTGACAAACCGCTGTCAATACATACCTCAACCACATTCTTTGCTTCAGGCTAAGGAAATCTTATTACTATTTCATTAAAATGTATTGTGCATAGCTGAGGGAATCCAAATAATCATTCATCTGAAAAGGCTTTTATTAAAATAATGAGGTAAGAGAAAGGATTAGAAAGCGGTTTTCAAAAAAGTGGTTCAAAGAGACAGATTTAACTTGATTTACTTCGATTTTAATCTGAGCATCACAAAGAATCATTGATATCTTCTCCTATAAATGGTTTAAAAATAAGTCATCAATCAAGTCTTTTGCTCATGAAATTAAGTAGTGGCAAAATTACATTTGTGGCAAAGCTGTCTATGAAATAACACTATTCCAATAGTAGAACAAGTTTATCAAGAACACAGCCAAAAAGAATAAGGACGGAGAAGTTTTTGCTTTAAATTAACTGAAACCTTTTCAAATCTTTACAAGTTTAAAAAGGTAGTCAGCGGTAAATCTAAAAAGACACAAAGAAAATGTGACAATTTTGTGATACTTGGAGATTATTTACTAGCTATCTATCTCTGCAAAGTTATTAGAGTATGCATAAGGTAAGGTTCATCAATTCATCAATAAATCACCCAACAATAGAGAGTCCAAGTCTGATGGAAAGGATTTGATAAGGGTCTTAAAACGGAGAGATGCGGGAAGTAAACTTTAAAGACACAGCGGTGCTGCTTTTGTAAAATATGATAGGTCCATGTATTAAAACTGAAAGATACAATTATTACTTATGTAACTGAATGAAGCTGTACTTTTCACAAGGGTAAATCTCTATACTTTTTTGTAGCTTGTAGTTTTTGATTTTCAGTTCTAGGGGAATGGTGGCCTAGTGGTTGAGGAAATGCGCTTGGAATCCAGAGGTTCTGAGTTCAAGTCCCCCTCCCACAGACTGACACTCTGGGTCCCTAAGCAAAGACCCTCAACCTCATACTGCTCCCCGGGCAGTGACAATGACAATGACAATGACAGCCCACTTCTCCCCAAAGGGATGGGTTTAATGCAGAGAGTTAATTTCGTTGCTCTGTACTTGTGAAAGTGTAATGGGCGACAGTGGCGTTGGATGTAGGAGTTTGCCCTGAAATCGAAGGATTGACTGTTCAACCCCCGGCTCGGACTTTCAGTGTCGTCGTGTCCTTGGGCAAGACACTTCACCTGCATTGTCTACTGATGGCGGTCAGAGGGCCCGGTGGCGCCAGTGTACGGCAGCCCCGCTTCTGTCAGTGAGCCCCAGGGCAGCTGTGGCTACAATGTAGCTTGCCACCATCAGTGTGTGAGTGTGTGTGTGAATGGGTGAATGACTGAAAGTAGTGTAAAGCGCTATCGTCAAGTCTCCCGACTTGAAAAAGCGCTATATAAGTACAGGCCATTAATGACTATAAAAGCTTCCTAGTCTGACACTAGAGGTTGTAGGCTTATGTATGATACCAACTAATTTTAAAGGGAGGTCTTAACTTTTTAATCATATGATTGGTGAGAAATATCTACTCTCAAATGACTGTCAGAAATGGGGATAAAGAGAAAAAATCCTTACTGACACTAAAGGAAAGAAATGCAGCTGTGTTCTCAGTTTGCTTACCACCAGGTCAGGATCCTGCATGAGGCTTAGGATCACCTCATAGAGCAAAGGCCGAAGATCTGATTTAAATTTGACGGAGATCCATTGCCCTATTAGCCAGATGACTCGTCTTCGGATCAGCTTGTACCTGAAAGGGAGGGAAAGGCCGGCAATTAGTTCCGTCTCATTTGAAATGGTTTATTATAAAGAATTAGAGGTCAAATTTGAGCACGGATACAATTCAGAGAATATTACCATGATTTATCAAAGGGAAAATATTTTGTAAAAAAATAAAAATTGTTCTATTATTTAGAAAATAGAAGGCTGGTTATAATCTACGATAAACACTGCTGCATTCTTTTAATACAAAGAGTTCAAAATAGTTTCTCTGTTGAGCATCTTAAATATGTCAAATTTACACTGTGTACTTTTAAAAAAAATTTTTACTCTACTTAAATGTATACTTCCCATGAGACATACAGCCCAAAAGTTTTTATATATGATTTGTAAAACAGAGAATAGAATACAGTGAATATGTAAAAATAACATCAGAATGGTTAAAACAACAATAACAGCTCAACAGAAGAAGTCAGAGGAATGGTAAAAGCAGGGAACTCTAAGCAGAAGAAATAGAAAACCAGAAGGCTTTAAAAACCCATCTGGGCCTCATGGTGTGTGTTATGAATTAAATTGCTCTGCCCTGCATGTCTATCAGTGATGGGTTTGTTTGGTTTTTTTTCAACAGTTGTTTTGGGCGAGTGTCCCAGAGCATCTGCCCTTTAAAATTCTGAGGAAGAAGAAGAATCGTGTCAAGGGACAGTCTCGACAGAAACGGTGGAATAGAGACAGGAATGAGCTGAAAAATGGAAAGATAAAGGATAGGAGAGAACACACTTGTTGGTCTGTTGTCAAATATCCACTGGGAGACAAGAGAGACCAGCAACTAGGCAACTATCCAGAAGAGTCTTAACAACAGCATGAATCATCGTTCCAAAACAACAAGTGTGTTAGTGTATTACTGGTCTATGTCAGATAAGGTAAAACTTTTCTTTTTAATTTTTACAATTATCTCCCACATTAAGCCAAATTAAGGTTTGAACTACCTTCATTACCTTAACATGATAAGCTGATCCATAATCTCTCTACATCAAAACCATCGATATACACATATATCCAAATGTTGATATGGCAGCATGTCTCCTGTGCTAGGATGGAACTGGGCATTTTAGCTGAGCACATGATCCTGCATAAATTCCACTGCTAACAACTGAAGAGTAGCTATTCAGTCTGAAGGAATACATTTTATTTTGTGTAATGAAGGATTGCTGAAGAGTCTCTTCACATTAATATAGGGATGTTTTGGCCCTTATAAAATATGCATTCATAAAGATGTCTGATATCACAGTTAAGCTAAAGCAAGTCAATAACAAGAAGTTAAAATAAGTATGGTTATTTTTTTCCCATTATTAACGTAAAACAGAAATGCATTTCTCTAAATTGTATTAAACCAGCCTATTAACTTGTGTGTATGTATGTGTTTTCCAATTGAATTTGATTTTCTGGCAGAATTTTAGAAAATGTTAATAAAAAAATATACCTAAACTATACCTCTGGTGTTTTTTTAAAACTGCATTGCAGTGGTCTTTCCTCAGTTCTATCACATAGTTATATCAATTTATTGTTTGGTGAATTTCTTGAAGGTTGCTTACATGTTGATTTCTTATTTTAATTTCTGCAAAAGTAACTTGTGTTTTAAATAAAAGTTTGGTTGATTGATGAAACCAAAAGGAACACACAAATATAGATTATAGTGTAAATTGCCAAGGCAGCGCGGTTCACTCTAGTGAGCTTCATATTCCTCTTCTGCTTGTTTGGCTTCCAGATAGTTGAGTACAAGTAGCGCCACACATTGTGAGCTGTAGCTGCGTGCAACGATTGAAAAAAAATAACAAAAAATTGCACAGTGTATGCCCGGGTTAATGAAATTAAACTTGAGGTCTACAGTTTAAATTTAGCTTTCCAGACCGTTACTCAAAATCAGGGGAATTCAGAAATTCTAATTTTCACATCAGAAATGAATGCCCCGTTAACACTAGCGGTTACCCTTAAATGTATTTTATTTCGTTCATTCATTTTATATCATGATTTGTTCCCAATCAAAACGCTGTATTACTGTATTTCTTATTGTCTAGTACTGTGAAAAGTTGACAAAAAAAGGACTCAAGCTCAATGAAAAATAAAGGCCGTTATTTTGATCAGTTGGAAAAATGTAGTAAAATGTGAAGAATGAAATGTTTCAATTGGTATTCTGGGTAAATGCAAATCCACTGTCAGCCTACTGATAGCGCCTCCTGGCTGATAATTCTTGATGAAAGAAAAAAAACGAGGCAACTTTTTTGACGCAATGTTATGAGTCTCATAACCTTTAATCTACTCAGTTTTGGTAGCAGCCACTAAATGGAGAAACATGAGCTGTGCCTTCTGGACTGAAATCATTATTTAGTCACTGTGTCTTCTAAGCTCAAATGAGATTGCTGTGCCAGACTTTAAATGGATAACTCTAATGCTGCAAGTGAACAATAATTTGTGAAGGACGTAATACCTGATGCAGCTGAGGAGGCTGCAGTTGATAGTGCTTATTTTATCACACTCTGAATGGGAACAGGTGAATGGGAAGGCAGACAGGGGTTCCTGTCCATCAGTCACAGGTCTGATATGACTCACCCACACCATACCTGTCCTCCCACATTACTTCACAAAGCTGTCATATACCTCTGTTTATCAATCTCAGAAACACATGGGTAATCTGAACAAAATATGGACTAAACAGAAAGGGAAAAACTGTTTTTATATAACCCTTGCACCAGGTTTTTACTTCTATTGTCTATTTTACTTGTGTATAGTAGTTGGCAAGAAACCAACTTATCTGCATAAATCGAAACATTAAAATCATGATCTGAGTTGTTTTATACAACTAAAACAGATGAATACTTTTAATTAAAATGTAAGATTAAAAATGTGACTCATCTGATACATGGAAAATATCAAAACATTTCGCTCTAAAATGGTTTAAATTGAGTTTATTCTAAAGAACAACTGACAATTAAATATGTTGTTTACTTGGTTGTTATTTACCAGCTGAGAAAATTTAATTGGGGAGAAAAGGTACAATAGTGTAGCAGATGTGAGGTAAGATGTTTAAAAAAGGTTTTTCAACAGACCTGTCTGATTCATTTAAAAACCTATAGAAACTACTGCCTGGGTAATTGAATGGATTTAAAAAGGTCAGTGTGGTGTTTCCTTCTCACTTTCAATTTCATTTCCCCCACTGCAAACATACCAAAATATATTACTGTACTTTATGTTTGCAATATAACAGAAGACAATCAAGAGCCAATCCTCAGTGTCAATTTCTAGCTGTAATGAAAAGATGAAGAGAACCAATACAGACTAATTTCATAGTGTGCATTGGTTACCCAGGAGGGCAACAGTCTCAACCGCAAAAAGGTCAAGCCGCAAACGACAATGTCAAAATGCCAAAGTGTTTTTTTTTTTTCTCAATCTACTACTGTGACAGTAGAATGATGAAACACCCTCTCTTTATCCACAGTCTGTGAAGGTGACACAAGAAGCTCTTTCTTCCTGTAGAAATGTCCTTTTCAGTGATGGTAACAGCAACAACATACCGCCACATTTTGCCCGAAGCAATAGAATCAAAATACAAGCGTCAGTATTACTGTCCCACTTCCAGACTGTAGTCATTATTACTACTTTGAGAATTCACGCATTCGCCTAAGGGCAGAACACAAAACAGAATACCAACAAATTTTTGATTGATTTACTGTTTTTAATATTGCCTTAATTGTATCATATGACTGCTGTATATTTTGCTTACAGCTCTTTGGTCATGTTGATGTTTCTCTATGAATAAAGTTGATGTTGGGGAAGATATATTGCTCGTTAATTTGAAGGTGGAGCACTCGAGCAAAAGACCATTAGCCTCAGATATCCCCAACAATCTGATAGACTGGTTTGCAGATTTTCTATCACTGTAGAATGTATTGCAAGGTGTAAGATCTCATATTTTAGAGCGTTGCTGGTCAGTGACAGTTGTGTTGATTCTAAAAAGGTGCAACACTGTATGTAGGAGCTAGGGCACTGGTGGTAAAATTCCTTTTACAAAAAAATAAAAATCTATTGCAACCTGGCTCTTCTGGTGGCCCAAGTGTGTATGCTACAGTGACAAATATATAGAGGAGCTAAGCTGGGGAATATTTACTTCCACTAAAGAGGTTGTTTTTTTTCAGTGTGAGTGCCTTTCTGTCTGTCTCTGTGTGTGTACAGGATAACCTGAAAAGTTATAGATAGAATTTGATGACTTTTTCTTTTCCAAAGGTGTCCTTCATGCCAGAAGAACCATCAATTACATTTTGATGATGATCCAGATCATAATCTGGTTACAAATTGTTCTTAGATTCTTGGATTGTGAGATAGGGATATGTGGCAGATCAAGCAGTTCCCCACTAAACCAGACGGTGGCAGCAGTGATTATTGACAGCCTCAGCATCGAGCTCAAATTAAACGTTGGTTTGTTAGCCTGACCAATTAAAAACATATGAACTTTGTGTGTAAACTTATGCAAAGGAAAAATGTATTCAAATTTGTTAATGATCCATATCATGTGCAGGTTTCACCTATAGGTGTAAGTAACAATATGGGGCAAAATCTGCTGCCTTTTATGGAGTGCTTTTCTTCCTACCAATATTTTCATATTTCTCTGTGTATTTAAAATGAAACGAATAAGCAATAGTGTTCACATCGAAAGCATTTTGGTCATCAAAAATGCTAAAACACCAAAATTTGGATTCTGGATCAAACGCTGGTCTAGATTTTTTGACGTTTCGACGCTCTGGATGCTCTCCACTCTGGTCGTTGATCTGCTCTGTTCTGTAGATTCAAGCTAGAGAGCACCTTGGCTTTATTTACTTTGATGAGTTGGAAAAAGGTTTAAACACATTTTTAAGAGAGATCCACCTCCAAATTTCATCTGTGGAGTCCGTTAATCAGGATTACGATCCTACTAAAATATGCATTTCGGAGCGCCAGAACTCCAGCACACCACAGGGAAGCAGCACTGAAAGCTCTCTG